ATACAGTTTCAAAGAAAATTAATTCAGATACAAAACTTTAAATTCAGTTTCAAACCAATATATTCAATTTCATATTCTGCACATTCAGATTCAATCTGAACAATTCAAATTCACTTCCTGCTGACACAATATTTATCCCATAAGGARCTTCCTGGTCGTGTGTGGAAATCTGCAGGTTTCATGTTGATGGAAGTCAGAGGTTCAAGTCAAAACTGAAGCCTGTTGAGAATTTGACAGTTTTTAAAAACATCCTGTCAAAAAGCTGCCTTTATATTCTCTATATTTCATGCTCTGCAGGGTTCAGGAGTCAAACTTAACGGTTTGAATTATTTACCGGAGGAGAATCCAAAAGTCACGCAATGAGATCCGTGCAGCTCTGCCAGCTGAGCCGAAGCAGCGGAGCGGCTGCTGGATGGATGTTTGGCTGCTTTTTCCCTGCAGGTTAGTGTTTTCACCTTTGATTTCTTCACAGATATGACTTCCTGRACAAAGAGGGATTCACGTCAGTTCTGCTGAAAAATACAAAATGTGCCAACGTCGAGAACAGAAGAATATGTTCACAGCCGTGTTGCATCGAGTGTAAAAAAACAGATGGAAAGGACAAACAAAGTAGCTGCGTTTGTTGTATTTTGAGCTAAATGTTTAGAAAAGCACCTTTTAACTAAAATTATCAGCAGGTTCAGTGCTGCCTGTCTCACACTGTAACCAACCTTGACTTCTTTCCCTGCAGGTGAGCCGGTTCAGGTGAAGTGGACTTCCTGTAGCTTTTATAGGCCTGCCCTGGACGAGTCCTTCTGGAAGGATATGGTGCCATATGAGGGCCAAAATTAAGACTATTGCACAACCAGCAGTTGCTACATCTTTGTAGCAGGACTGAGGAGGTTATATCTATTCCTAATCCAGCTACTGATCTGATTAATGAWAGACCGGCACCGCTAACTGTGAGGCCGGAGCTGGTAAATGARAAGGAGACWATTTWTTTGTGTTAGCATCAGAGAGGCTAGCAACAAGCATGGATAAGCTGGCGTTAACATTGGAAAGGCTAGTGACTAGCATGAATAAACTGGYATTGGAGAGGCTAACAACTAGCATGAACAAGATGGCATTGGAGAGGCTAACAACTAGCATGGATAACTGGCATTAGCATTAGAGAGGCTAGCAACTAGCATGGATAAGCTGGCATTAGCATTAGAGAGGCTAGCAACTAGCATGTATAAGCTGGCGTTAGCATTAGAGAGGTTAACAACAAGTATGGATAAGCTGGCATTAGCATTAGAGAGGCTAACAACTAGTGTGGATAAGCTGGCATTAGCATTAGAGTGGCTAACAACTAGCATGGATAAGCTGGCATTAGCATCAGAGAGGCTAGCAACAAGCATGGATAAGATGGCATTGGAGAGGCTAACAACTAGCATGGATAACTGGCATTAGCATTAGAGAGGCTAGTGACTAGCATGGATAAGCTGGCATTAGCATTAGAGAGGCTAGTAACTAGCATGGATAAACTGGTGTTAGCATCAGAGAGGCTAGCGACTAGCATGAATAAACTGGCATTGGAGAGGCTAGCAACTAGCATGGATAAGATGGCATTGGAGAGGCTAACAACTAGCATGGATAACTGGCATTAGCATTAGAGAGGCTAACAACTAGCATGGATAAGCTGGCATTAGCATTAGAGAGGCTAACAACTAGCATGGATAAGCTGGCATTAGCATTAGAGAGGCTAGTGACTAGCATGGATAAACTGGCATTGGAGAGGCTAGCAACTAGCATGGATAAACTGGCATTAGAGAGGCTAGCAACTAGCATGGATAAGATGGCATTAGCATTAGAGAGGCTAGCAACTAGCATGTATTAACTGGCACTGAAGAGGCTAGCAACTAGCATGGATAAGCTGGTGTTAGCATTGGAAAGGCTAGCGACTAGAATAGAGAGGTGCTTATCCATGCTACCTGCTAGCCTCTTCAATGTTAATGCCAGCTTATCCATGCTAGTCACTAGCCTTTCTGATGCTAACACAAATAAATAGTATTCTCGTTAGCCAGCAGTGGCCTCAGTTAGCGGTGCCAGCCTATCATTAATCAGATTATTAGCTGGATTAGGAATAGACATAGCCTCCTGCTACAAGGATGTAGCAACTGCTGGTTGAGCAACAGTCTTAATTTTGGCCCTCATACCACACCATACAGGACAGTCCAACATTAAAGACACGTGTGGACAGATGCTGACATCTTTTTATTTTTGGAGAGCTGTCAGATTGATTTGCTGATCTTTTTTTAATAACAGGCTTCACACTGACGTGATGAAAACTGCATTTTAATATTCTAAATGGTAAATCGCTGCCATGCAGCAGGATTAATTATATAAACGTTCTTAGCTTCAGGCTTTCCTCAGACACATTTTAAATATGTATATTTTGTGTGTTTGACCCGAGCAGACTGCAGAAATTAGCAGAACACTCACCTGCCCGCCTCGTCTCGGTGTTCTAACAGGACTCAGAGCACTGAACCATCTGCTTCCAGGTGATAATATCATCAGGAGGTGAACACCAGGGACAACACCCAGAGAGAGAGAGAGAGTGAAGCAAACAGAGAGCAGGATCTGCTCAAACCCAGACTCGTTCATGAATCTCTGCAACAATCCTGGATGTTTYGTAGCCGTCCAGAGCCGGAGCACAGGATGACCTCCAAATTAAAAACCCAACTCATCACGTCAGACGGCCTGAATTATTCATGAAGCCGGTCTGCTCGGTATTACTGCCAGGAGGAAGGTGCAATTACATTTCCCTCAGGAGCTGCAGACACGAGAAGAAAAGGAGAAGCAGAAAGGAAAACACCGTCTGGTAAAAAATAGATGAAGTTTGTTGCCCCGTCTGGGGAAAAGATTTGATCGTTCTTCTGTAATTATTCAGTTGTTTTCTCAACGACAGCTCAGCCGAACGGAGCTCGGCTGGATGAGAGGTTAATTAGAGCCGATTGAATGTTTTTTATTCTCAAACTTTCTGCTCCAAATGTTTGGCTGCAGCTGTCAGGAACAAACTCTGTTTTATTTGTTTGTCTAATTATTCAATTTGAAATAAATTTATTTTCCTCAGTAGCTTCGGCCTTAAAATAAATTGCTCTGTGCGTTATTATTGTTTATGTTTGTTTATGAGCAGTCCACACTTGATTTGTTCGTGTTTTAACAGCTTTCTTTGTGGACTCTGGTCCATTTCTTTAAAGGATCCATGATTAGTTGTAACATAAATATTTATTTTAACTGTAAAATAAAGACTAAAAATACTGTAGTCTGTTTAATTTTTTAAATTCAAACTAAACTTTAAAAAATATATTACATTAATTGAGCCATTTTATTTACACGCAAAGCAAACTGGGTAAATGATGACGTGGATAGGTCCTCGGTGCAAGGCTGTGAGCGAGCTATATCCACCCTGAAGGTTAAAGTGCCCGTGTCATCAGATTTTTGTAATAAACATTAATACATTTTTGGAAAGAAAACATTGAAAACAAACTGCAAAACAAATTTCACATCACTGAGATGAACGGTTGTTGAGATATTTGCATGTGAAGAAACAGGAAGTGATGTCAAAAGGAAATGTTAGCATGTAAACAGAGTGTTACAAAAGCTAACCGCACAGACTGTAGAGAAGAATCTGATGTTGCTTTAGATTATTTTTAGTCGCTATCAAAGAGGGTTAAAGTTTAAATAATTTTTTTTACTAAACAGAGACCAGCAAGTTTATTTTATTAGAGTTCACTTTTGATGTCACTTCCTGTTTCACTTTGACTGAGCCAAATTTAAAAGAAAATAGGCCAGTTGTGTGACAAATAGGGTATAAAATCATGTGTATCATGTCAGGTTTCTTAAGTATAAAGATGCTTTCCTTGACTTTTTGTATTTGAAGGACAGGCATGTAACAAGTACTTTAATCTTGGACAATATCTGATGATCGACTCTTTTAAATGAAACCAGAGAGCGTTGACAGAGAGGAGAAGGTAGAAATGACTCAGCCTGGAAC